TTTTTCTTTTTTTTTGGGGGTTAATTCTTGGCGCAGTTTCCCCAATTCCTTTTTCCCTCCAATTCTTCTATTCTATAAAACCTTCTCCATTCTTCCATTTCTCAGACCTAGCCTCCCTCTCCAAACGGAAGTCGAGAGAAAAAGTTCTTTTTCAGGTATGCATTTCCGTTCCATTCGCCTTTTTTTCTTTCTTCTTGATCGTTGCCGGAATATGTCTTGTTTCGATTTCACGATCCATTGTTATCATTGTTGAATCCATGGATTGGAAGTGTAAAACTCTTGCTTTTAACCTAACTGTTCTTCGTGATTCTGGCGAGAATGAGATTGTTTTGCGGGAGAAGTTGAATCTCTGTTTGCCGATCGAGTTAGTTAAAATCTAGAAGAATTAATTTTCCAGCCTTGGTTGTTCTTGATTTGATGTCAGGTTTGGGTTTTCTCAGTTTTGAATCTGAAATGGAAGTGTTTTAATCTTGAATCTAATTTAACTTTTCTTCGAAAAGAATCAGATTGTTATTTTGTTATACTTAGAGTTGAATCTCTTCTTTACGAGTTAATAATCTCGCGAAGAACTACTCGATTTCATTTTCGAATGTTTTCAGCGTAGAAGTCCGAATCTTAAATGTTTCAATCTTTCGTCTAATGTAACTTTTCTTCGAAATTTTGAGAATCAAATTGTTATGCTAGAAGGAGTGGAATCTCTGCTTTACGAGATAGTAATCTCGCGAAGAATAGATGAGATATTCAGAAGAAGATTTTGCATTGTTTAATTTAGTAATTTTTCATGTTGATCTCCTGTTGTTTTGGTTGCCGATTAATTTCGCGTCGTCGAATATGATCTGATCGATTTTACTTCTTCAGCATATTTTTGCTATTTCTGGAAATCTGCTACTGTTTCATGCTTCTGGAATCTCCATTTCTTGAAATCGTTGCGCGTAGATCTGAAAATCAAACCGTTTTTAAGATCTTTTTGTTATATTAATTATGTATGAATCTTGTTCAGCAAGTAAGAAAATTAGAATCCAAAATGATGAAATCAAGATTAATCGGTACAGCAATAATCGGAAGGAAATTTCTGTCTTTATTCTCTGGATACTTGCATTTTCAGTATTTTGCTATTGTCTAATCTTCTTCTGCTCTGATTGCTATCCAGTTCTACTGAAATCTGCAAATGCAAAACGATAACTCCTCTAAGGCCTATCGCGACCATGGCACCGAAGGCCAGAACCAACAAAACGATACTGTTTACCCCTCCCCCTCCACCTCCCCATCCAACTCATCCATTTTGCCTCTCTACAACCCCCGCATCCTCATGCAACAGCACCAAGACATGATAAACCGTCATAACCTCTGCCTGACGCGTCTCCGCGAAGCCACAAAAGAAGCCAATTCTCTCCGTCATGAGAACGCGGCCCTCCAGTCTCTCAATCGCGACCTCAACAAGCAACTCAGCAGCATAATCCAGGCCTCTGTTCAAAGCCACTTCGCATCCTCGGATTACAACACAACGCCGTTTGAGGTGGTTGATGCATTCCGCGGACTTTGCATCGGTGGCGTTGGTGGTGGAGAAGAGGAGATCCCTGTTGAGAGCCCAACAAGTGTGATAGAGGAGGGTTCTGGGGTTGATGTGGAGAGGGTTATGTTGCCAAAGAGCATTTCTGTGAGGTCCAATGGGTATTTGAAGATGACGAACCAGGGTAGCGCAAGTCATGGTTGTAGAGCTCGGGGGTCAGCTCGGCCTGCGAGAGTCAGTCCACTCAGTGGAGCAGTATGTACTTATCAACAAATTCCTAATTCTTGAATCAGTGAATAAACTGAGTTTAAAAATACCTCAGCTGTAGTTCATCTCAATTTATATAAGATCGTTTTGCTTTAATTACTCGATCATCTAAGTAGGCTAATTCATTCCCTCTAGTTTGTAGATTTTACTAGAGTTAATTAAAACTGCATCAGTAAAAGTTTGAGATGTGTTGAGGGATATGCACTTAGGCCAGTATGGCACATGATTGGCTAGTTACTGTTACTAATAATGAAATCTTAAAGCTTTGAAAATAAATATCCCATCATACATTCCTTCATTGCCTTCTTCTAGTAGAAAGTGCTGACTGTTTTGTGTCAATTCATGGTGTTAAATAATGCAGCAAAAGGTGTATGTGCAAGGAGGGAAGAAGGAAGAAGAACCACTTGAGCTGGAAGTGTACAACCAAGGCATGTACAAGACTGAACTCTGCAACAAATGGCAAGAGACTGGAGCTTGCCCATATGGTGACCACTGCCAGTTTGCTCACGGTATTGAGGAGCTCCGCCCTGTCATCCGCCACCCTCGCTACAAGACTGAGGTCTGTAGAATGGTCCTTGCTGGTGAAGTCTGTCCCTATGGCCATCGATGCCACTTCCGCCATGCACTCACTGAACAGGAGAGGTTCAGGGATCGCATGAAGCCCAGGGCCGTTAGACTTAACAGGTAAAGCTACTGTTGTTGGTTATCATCACTGGGATGGTACTTTTGGATGGTTGGAGTTGTTCATACTCGATTGGAACTGGTTTAAGTACATATTCATATATACTGTAAAAAGTATAGGTATATGATGGACATACAGAAAATGGGAAATAATTAGCATAATAATAAGGTTAGGAAAAGCTGGAGCTTTGGAGAGGCTTTGTGGCCCCTAAAGGCAGGAGATTAAATGAGGATACATCCTGGCTCTTTGATTGATTTCTGCTCCTTTTTGCTATGACATTTGAAGTATTATATACTCAAAAGTGGATTGTTTGGTGAGCTTAAACCAAGCAACATGAATATTAAACACAAAAGAACAAGTTTTAATGATGTCTCTTGGCTCTGGAAAAGCAACATGTGCTCGGAGTCTTATCCTTTTAAAGTTTTAATTGACTCGATATATGAATATATTTGATCATTGATGTATTGTCATAGACGCTGTTCATGTATGAGATGCTCTGGTAAGAAGCCTATGGCGTGATGGAATACCCAAGTTGAGACTTGAAAGTTGAAAGTCTCTCGCACTTTTATTGGGAGTAGTTTTTATTTTCAGCAGAGAATCTTTTTTAACAGTTAGATCAAAGGTACCATTATCATAAAACAAAAATCAAGACAGTTTGTGGATCTATTTTGCAGATTTGGCAAATTTATAGAAGTTTTTTTATTTTTTAGATTACCACTTCGTAGCAAATTTATCGAAGTTTATTAATAGTTTTTTTTTTTTTAGGTAAAATGAAGTTTATTTATGGGTGAGAGATAAAAAGGGCCAACAAATATAAATGATAATGGGTCCACAAGTATAAGAATTTTTTACGAGGGATAAAAAATATCTTCTGTTCCCATTCTTCAAGGGAACGAGGAGTTTCTACAAGTATGAGAATCACTACAAAGTATACAAAATTAATGCTTAACTTAACCTCATTTGGTTTTTTTTTTAATAAATAATATTGTAAGATTACATAAAAAATAATTTATGTAGCATAACAATAAAATTTTATAGAAGTAAAAAGCATACAAAATAATATACAAACACTAACTTTTTCTGGTTGATAAAATTTATAACATTATTACGTTATTGGTGGCTACAGGCTAGGGCTTGGGTTTGTGTTTGTGGGCGGGTTGGGGAGAATTGAGCTGGCAAATTCGA